AGAGAGAGAGAGAGAGAGAGAGAGAGAGAGAGAGAGAGAGAGAGAGAGAGAGAGAGAGAGAGAGAGAGAGAGTAGTCGGGTACATACCTGTTTCGCGTGTGTGGAAGTTGTGTGAGCGGCGAAGCAGCAGGAGAACCGAGCACTTTGTTTGTATAATAATAATACTTTGGTGCCAATCCTGTTCGTTGCATGTGTGTGCGAGGTTGAGGGTGATTGACTTGTGAATCATTGAAACAACAGTGGCAGTGACGATGATGATGACAATTATGCCAATGCTGTCCCTTTGCCTACAGAAAGAGTACTACGGAATCTGAATTAGTTTATGGGTTAGAACTGAGAAGTATCAGCCCAACATGCCCTCACTTCCTACTGTGTGGTACAGCATGTACATATCAACTATCCAGCAATAAATCAATGTGAGTTGCTGAGTTCAAACTATGTTCAGTTCTGTCATACCAAGGGGTGTCCTATTGATGAAAAGCATTGCTGAACCTCCTCTTTTTTCTTTGAAAGACATGCCCTCTCTCAGAGCCGTGCTCCATGTTGTTAAATAGCAATAGCAATAGAAATACTCACACAACCTTTGCAACTCCATTTGATATCCTATGTTCCTCATCCAAAAGATTTGGACTCTGGCAGGCAAGCAAAAGAAAAGAGAAAGAAGATGACTCACCCAGACACAGGGACCATATTCACACTAGTAGTAGTTTTTTACTGAACCCACCTGCACCCAGGAAGTCCTCTGTGACTGTGCTTTCTTGAAAACTCTGCATATATCAAGAAGTTTGACAAGTATTTGGGAGAGAGGGGAGAGGGAGGAATACAAGGCAGGAAAGATAGAGCAACAACTTGGAAAAAAAGATACCAAGACAATGTCACAGGCAAGGAGGTTATGGAAAGGTGGGAGTCTTGCCTTCCAGACTGCTTCCAGCTCTGCATCATAGTCTGCCCAACGCGGTGGCGTTCCGGGGGTCCGGATAGAGAAGTTGTAGCCATTGCGTATTGAAGGCATCATCCTTCCGGAAAAGTCAAGAACGAGAACACACCCCAAATGCACACATCAGGGAAGCACAAGAAACAAACAGAAACAGCCTGCACACTTCATGCAGAATAGACGAATAGCACATTATGTGAGGCTTTACTCTCGCAGGGGACACAATGCGCAAAACAAAACTGCAGCACCCGACCGGATACCTCAGCATCACCCATCTGCCTCGTCCACTCAGTTGTCTAAGCAGGAATGAACTGTGGCCAGCGGGAAACATGAAATGATAGGCTAAGGGTCGGCAAGCAGAACAGAAACTATAAAAAAATTCCAACCAGCAAACATTTATTTGAGAGGAAGAACTTCACCGACATATGTTGTCATATTGTGTGAGTATGAGTGTATTTCTAAGCGTCAACATCACCACAAATAAATTCAGCATCAAAGACATGGGTGAGAAGACAGGATGGGCTCTCACACAAGTGCAGATATATCCAGGCATAGAGTAGGGCACATGTAGCATGTTATCGCAGAAAGTTAGGACAAATACTACTGTCTTCACCCGAATACAACGTGCGGTTCTTACGGCTGTATTTGGGGTATCTTTCAGTCTAAATATGGCAAGAATGACCGTACATTGTATTCAGGTGAAGAAGGTAGCACCGTAGCAGCTTTGACAGAGTAATCTATGCCAGGCACAGTTTGGGTGTCTTCAGCTGTTGTTAGTTCTTGGTCTGAGTGGGGACAACTTCCTAAGTGAGATAGAAACAGCTGTGAGAGTGAAATTGAATCTGGGACTACAATGAGGAGGAACAAAGTTGGAACGATACAGAGAAGATTAGCATGGCCCCAGTGCAAGGATGACACGCATAAATCGAGAAATGGTCCAAATTAAAAAAAAAAAAAGAAAAAAAAAGGAGGAACAAAGTGACCACGACACTATCCCTTCTTCCCCTTGACATGCATTTTGTGGTCATCATAGTGTTGCTCAGTGCAACATTCAGGCCAGATAGATATGCGGCCATAATGATCCTTTGTTGTATCAAGTGACCAAGATGAAGAATCGTGAGGAAAGGGTTCAAGATTCCACCAACAACGGGAGAATAAGAACGTCTAAGCTGATGTATGTCTATAATTTATTTATATATATATATATATCGTCAAATAGATATATATATATATATCGTCAAATAGAACTGCCCGGTAAACCGTAGGCAGAGAGGGAGAAGAGGACAACAAAC